TTAATTTGTTATATCGAAACATCAAAAATGTTTTCAACAGGGATGGATGTCGCCATAGAGAGTGAGAGATGGAGATGATACTGAGTTGCGATATAGAGTTTTAGGTTATGAGTTGCGATTTACGGGATATACTGTTTATATTTGTGTTGTGAAATTAATAGTGTTTCGAATTCGAAAAAAAATTCGCGTTGCGAAAATAAACGCGCTTTGCAAATTTGACTTCTGTGTTGCGAATTTGGAAAATCGCGTTGTGGAAAAGAAATTCGAGTTGCAAATTTCAAAACTGAGTTGCAAATCTGGGAAATTCGCGTTGCGAATTTGGAAACTGTGTTGCGAAGTTAGAGTTCGCATTGCGAATTTGTTGGTTATTTTCACAAATACAAAAAAAGTTGGTTAAAATCGTATATTATAAGGCATTTTCGGTCATTGAAATTATTTTCTCATTTCTTTAATATTAACTTGGATCAACAAGGAACAAAAAAATACATACTTAAATCACTAAGCCTCCATATACATATAGATCTACATGCCCATTAAGAAAATGTAAATGAATTATACTCCGAATTTGAGATTCCTCTCGATGATGACGTAGGAATGATAACGGGTTTGGTTTCTAGTTAATTCAATTCAACATAAAAATATATAGGGTAAATTACACGAGTGACTATTAAACTATGGTAAAAAATCATTTTAACCACCTATATTTCAATACGATTAAACATACCATTCAACTATTTTAATGCTTCAATCAAGTTATTAATAAATTAAAATAATGACACATATCATCAATCAATTAGAAAATTTAATTTATTTTAATTTATAAGGGGGGTAAAGTGGGATTCAAACCAGGGACCCCTTGGGTGAAGGGGAAGCATCAAACCACCAGGCCAAAGCATCATTTGGTTATCTTAATACAACAAATGCTATACATTTTGTAACTTAGTACATTTTTCTTTAGAAAACAAATAATATAATTAATAAATAAAAATTAAGAATATTTTTACATTAACAAAAAATATGAATATATAAAATATATTAAAATAATAATAAAATATTTTAAGTTAATATATTTTTTTAAAAAAATAAAAATAAAAATATATTTTTAAGTGAAGATAAAGGTAAAATATATATATTTACATTAAAATAAAAAAAAATATATATTTAATAGGTCGAGACAAAAATAAAATATATTTAATAGGTTTGGACAAAAATAAAATATATATTTAATAAGTTAAGATGAAAATAAAAAATAATAATTTTTAAAATTTAAGAATTAAGATATATAAAATATTATATTCATATTTTTTTGTTAATATAAAATATTATATTTTTTAATTATATAATTTAATCTTATATATATAATATTAAATTATATAATTAAAAAATTAATATGTTTTATATATTTTTATTTTTTATTAATGTAAAAATATTCTTAACTTTTATTTATTAATTATACTATTTGTTGTCTAAACGAAAAATTTACTAAGATACAAGATATATATTATTTGTTGTATGAAGATAATGAAATGGATGTCTTGACCCAATAGTTTGGTGCTTTCCCCTTCATCGAAGAGGTCTTTGGTTTGATTCACACCTGCCCTTATGCGTTGGTTTATTTTCTTTCAACCAGAGGGTGACTGTCACCCTCTGATGGGAGGAATGTAAATCTATAAATTGAAAGAATATATATAAGTAACATAGACATATTATGTAATTATACCAAAATATATTTAACTGTCACGTCACTTGTTCCGTTAATTGTTAATAACAGGTGACTTAATTGAAACATTTAAATAGTTGGATAGTATGTTTGATCAAATTGAACATTGGTGGTCAAAATGATTTTTGACCATAGTTTATGGTCACCCCTGTAGTTTACCCAAATATATATCATTTATCCGACTCGAATTTTTAGAGCATAAGTCTGACCCGACTCAACCCAATATAAAATAAGGATTTAATTTTAAATAATAATAATTTTTTTAAAGAAATTTCATTATTATCCTTAGGTTGGATCGAAGTTTTTTCACTCTCCACTTGAACCTGACCAGATCTAAACCCGATTTTTTTTAAAAAAAAAATTGACTCAATAGGCTCGAGTCAGAACCTGTCGAATTCGGGTTAAATTGCCACACTATGATGTCGCTAGTCAAACATTCATCAATAGGATAGAATTGAGGGGTGGATGGGATAGACTCCATCACCCCTTTGAAAATGTAAAATTACTATATATTTTATATTTTTTATATATTTTTAATTGAAAATTTGTGTTCGTTCCCTTTAAATTTTATAAATTCAAGTTCATCCTCTAAAATTAAATTTGTCCCTTCTAATATAAAATCTTATATCCATCCATGGTGATCAAATATTAGTTATGAATATATGTACAGAAAATAAATCTACATGCTAAGTTTTTTTGAAATTCAATGGTTTACAATTAATTTACTATACCACTTAAAGTTGATAAACCCAAACTATTGTATAATAATGTAGTCCAATAATAAATTACAATAAAGAATTCATACCTGGTTGCAGTAGGAAGATTAGATTAAATAAAAATACAAAACTAAAAGATTAAATTGGAAAAAAAATAAAATTAAGTAGAATTGTTTATGGACGATTAATTGAATTGTTTAGCCTAAACAATCGGTTAATCGTTATAACGATTATAAGATTTTCTAATAATAATTTAACTATTAATAAACGATTACGATTAACCGTTACTAACGGTTCAGTTACATGTTAATGGTTAACCTATGATTAACTTATTATAATTATTTGTCAAATTTTTTTATAATTTATACTACAGAAAAGTGTAGCACTTAACATATACTTACATCGGTGTAAGTAAATAAAATAAAAAAGTGTAACACTTAACACATACTTACACCAGTATAAAGTATGTATATCTCCTAATATCTTGGTACTTAACAATAAACACATAATTGTATTAGTGTAAGTATGTTTATGTATTTTTAAAGAAATAAAAATTAAAAATAATAAAAAATGTATATATTAAGTTATTTGTGTAGAAATTTATAAAAAATATATGTAAATTAGAAAAAATAAAAACATTATGTTAAGTTATTTGTGTAAAAACATAATAAATTAAAAATTGATTTTATTAACGGTTAATCGTTAGTTAACCGTTTATTAAAATTTGTAACCGTAATCTTAACCATTAACAATCATTCTTAGCAGTTTGGTTAACCAAAATTGTTTAGTATTAACGATTTGACTAATTGACATGATAAATATAATGATTATACCGGCTAATAATTATGGATAACAATTATGATTTTTTTTAAAACACTTTCAAAATTGATGTAAAAAATAATTGAAATAAAATATGTATTTAATACTAATAGAAAGATATACGATTCAAATTTGATTAGAAATGAAATTAAGAAAAATCATATACGAAATCATAAAATATACAATATGAGAACATTTGATCGAGCATCAATAATTTATCTGTGTTATTAATATCAAAGGTATAGTATTGTTACATGTAGGTCTTGGTGGAAAAATGTGAGTTTTAGTGTTGAAAAAACTGATGTTAGTACAAAATAATATTAGCAATCACAAGACAAAATAATTGAACGAAAATAAAATACAACTTTGACTGTATCCTGGATGCACCACTGTCATAGTAGAAAAGCTATCCCAATTGGTGTAATCGTGGTATTAGACATCGCCTTGCGGGATTGACACGAGACTCGAATTTAACAATTTTGGATTTAATCATATTTTGTTAAGTCTATTTTTTTTAAAGTTGAGTTTGAGTCAGATCGTGTCAGATTTTTTAGAATATATGTTCGAATTGAGTCTGAATTTAAGACGAAAAATATCCGTCCCAATTCAACTAAAAAAATAATATAATTATACCTTATATTTAGGAATAGTCGTAATAATACATCTCTTTATATTATTTTTTAATAACACTTTTATAATATTCAAGACTCCTCTTTGATATTAAATTATTTTCACTAAGGCTCTAATTGAGAAATTTTGGAAAATATTAATAGGAAGAAAGAATAAGGATGCTGCAGTACATTAGTTCATGGAGCGGTTAAAAGATACCTATGTTATCCTGTTTTATGTAAGATTTATTGATTTATTATTTAATTATATTTGATTCGATTTATTTTTATTTATATGATTAAAATAGTAATTATTTAGATTGAATTAAATTTAATTACTTTAGGATCAATTATGTATTTAGTCACCATTTTATTCTCACGGTTTTTTTGGTCACGTAATTGTCTTTTTTGAAATTATATTTAAATTTATGTTTTTATTCTGTTCTGGTCACATGTCGTTAAAAAATAAACAAAATTATTTATATGATATTTTTTTTACTTTTTTTAATGATAACATTGCATTACCTTATAATAATATATGTTAATATCATTATTATTTTAAACCAAAAGATGACCAAAACACTATAAAAACGTAAATTAAAATATGATTTAAAAAAATTAATGAAGAAAGCGTAATCCATGAATAGTTTGACTGATAAAATATGTAGATTTACCTTATTTTTATACTGTAAAAAGTATATATAAAGTAATCAAATGTCTTAAAATAATACTGTAATAAGTGTATTATTTGGCTTTCAAGTTTCAACTACCTGAATCAGTTATTACAGAGACAATTGGCAACACCATGGATGATGGGGTCTCAAGTTCTCCACTTTTCGTCTGTCTCGGTGAGCGGAGAAAGCGAGACCAAAAAGAACCCAAAACGAATGATTCGAATGAAAGCAAAACAAGATTTAAAAAACTCATCTTTTTTGATTTCATCCATGCAGAAAAATTCCAACAGTGCCGTCTTAGGACGGCCATTTTCGTCTCCCCTTTCTTTCCCCTTCTCCTATCTGCTTCTCTTCGTTCTTTGTACTCTTCCAAGTGTCTCCTTTTCTTCTTCTTCATGGTGTTTTTTTATACGTCATTTTTTCATTATTAAACGATCGAGAAAGAAGCCTTTTTGGTTGCTGAAACAAAAGAAATGGGTTGCGTTCAAGGAAAGAACTCAATGGAATCACCACCTAGGGGCTTAGAGAAGCTCAAAGTGGAAAATGGGTATACTGGAAAAGGAGCATTTGCGGGTCATAGAAGGTCAACTGGTCAGAGGTATTCTGATCCGCAACTACCAAAGAAGGCTAATGGATTTGGTAGCGCTGATGTTGTTGTTGTTGCCGGTAAAGAGAAAGAGAGAAGCAATGAAGCTGTTCGGAAGAGAAATGCTTTTGATGTTGGAGATGAAATGGTTGATGGATGGCCTAAATGGCTAATCGATAATATCCCCAAAGAGGTGTTGTCTGGCTTGGTTCCAAAGAGTGCCGAATCTTATGATAAGCTTGATAAGGTAATGCCCTCAACTTTGTTGTTACAAGTACCAACTAATTCTCTGCTAAGAATGGTTGCGGATGTTGCATACTTTAGGATGTGCTTTGTTTCCTAAAATTGACTATTTCAATTGTTGATGCTGTTGTGTTGTCACGGTAACTTTAAGAAATATTATGATATTACGGATACACTGCCTTGTGGCCGCAATTTAATACTATGGTGACGAGTAGAGTTTGCATTTACAATAACTTGTTTACAATTTGAAAATTTATGGTATCTTTTTCTTCAAAATGACGTTCCTACGCTGATCTCATTTGGTTGCCAAGAAAGTGGTGGAAACAACAAACATTCAACACAATTTATTAGGATCATCTGTGTTGCATTCATTATATATACTCTGATTCAATTAACAAGAACAAACTATCTATAATTGTTATTGTCTTTGACTCAGTGAATAACAGATGCAACTTAAAACGATGTGAATTTTTATGCTAAGAAATGCAACTGATGCAAATTTCCTTTATGTTTGGTTATAGATAGGCCAGGGTACCTACAGCAATGTGTATAAGGCTCGAGATAAGGAAACTGGAAAGATAGTTGCCTTGAAGAAGGTCCGTTTCGACACATCAGAACCCGAGAGTGTGAAATTTATGGCACGAGAAATAATGATATTACAGAAGTTGGATCATCCCAATGTAGTGAAGCTTGAGGGATTGGCAACATCAAGATTGCAATATAGTCTTTATCTAGTTTTCGAGTTCATGCAGTCCGATCTGACAAGAGTTATGTCTCAGGAGGGTAGGCTTACAGAACCGCAGGTTCGATATATTTGCCTTTACTCTTTCAGGGATTGCAGGAACCGGAGACACTAGATTAATTGGTTGCTAATTTGAATTGTCGATGCAGATAAAATGTTACATGCATCAACTGCTTTCGGGTCTGAAGCATTGCCATGAGAGCGGAATTTTACATCGTGACATTAAAGGATCAAATTTACTAATCGATAGACATGGGATGCTAAAGATTGCTGACTTTGGACTTGCAAATTATTTTTCTCCGAACCAGAAGTATCCTCTCACGAGCCGTGTTGTAACACTGTGGTATAGAGCCCCTGAGCTGTTGCTAGGTTCAACAGATTATGGAGTTGGAATTGATCTTTGGAGTGCTGGATGCCTCTTGGCAGAGATGTTTGCAGGGAGGCCAATCATGCCGGGTAGAACTGAGGTAATACATTCTAATATTCATCAGTAATCTATCTAATTGTCAAATTTATTGTTACTGGTTTCTAATATTAGAATTTGTGCATTCAGGTTGAGCAGCTTCATAGGATTTTCAAGTTGTGTGGTACACCATCAGAGGCATATTGGAAAAGGTTGAGGCTGTAGTGCTGGATGCCTCTTGCAGAGATGTTTGCAGGAGCCAATCATGCCGGGTAGAACTGAGGTAATACATTCTAATATTCATCAGTAATCTATCTAATTGTCAAATTTATGTTACTGGTTTCTAATATTAGAATTTGTGCATTCAGGTTGAGCAGCTTCATAGGATTTTCAAGTTGTGTGGTACACCATCAGAGGCATATTGGAAAAGGTTGAGGCTGTCCACAACTTTCAGACCTCCGCAATCATACAAACCTAGTCTGGTAGACGCTTTCCGGAACTTTCCCGAGTCTTCCTTGGGTCTTTTGAGCACTCTTCTTGCTTTAGATCCTGCATACCGTGGTTGTGCTTCTTCAGCCCTGCAAAATAAAGTAAGTATGGAATTGGAAACTTATTTAGTGCCATTCTATTTTTTTTCTTGCTGAGAAGAAGATGAAAAGGAAGGCCTTTGAGTCTTAGCTTTATTTCCATATTGTATCCAGCTTTGTTATTTCCGATCGGAATCGGTGTGCTGTGACTAAGAACACTTCTCGAAATCAGTCTTGAATTTCTAGAGCTGATGATTTGTCATAGTTAAGCAATCTTCAATTATTAAATTCAACACAAGTTTGAGAGACAGTGATGTGTGCACCAACTCCATGCATTATCCTTAGTAAACATATATCTTCTACCAGCAAAATGATTGGGACAATGTAAAATCCACATGGATGATTTTTCATTGGCCAAAGACACAAACTTTTTCCTTTTTCTTTTTTACTTCTGGCTGTTAATTTCTTGTGATACAATTGCCCTTTACATTGTGTTGTTTCAAATTATCTGATTACATGCGAACCTTATTCGGAATCTTCGACTAAGAAACACTTTGAATTTGCAGTTCTTTTACACAAGTCCGTTACCGTGTGACCTTTCAGGTCTTCCTGTTGTTTATAACACCGATGTCGAAGCAAATGAACAGAGAAAGTAAGTTTCATTTTCACAATTCATTATTAATCTTTTTATGCCAATCATGTCCAAATGTTTCTAAATCCCTAGAGAAATATTGACAATTAATGTGGTAAGTTGCCATCAGAATGTAAATATGTTTTTGCATCAGTTCAATTATGATACCGATGTAAATTTAAGAGCACTGTCAAGGTGCATGGAACAGTGCACAAACACACTCCATTCGTCCTTGACATATATTACCAAGTAGTTACAAGTTAATGGGATGATGAATATGAATTTATTTTTTCAAAAAGTACAAAATGCAGCAACCATGCATCCATTAGGCTAATAATGCAACTTTGTGTTTTTTCTCATGATTTGTTAAGAGTGTTAATGCTTATGTTGAACCACCTAATTATTTTTTTTCATTTTATCGTCACAGAAATACAAAAATAAAACGACGACCTCGAATGCTTCGTGAACATAAGAAACAGGATGAGGAGGCTGAAGAAAAGCAAGTAAGCAACGTTCGTAGGGAGGTAAGGAAACTTCGAGCAAAAAATGAGCGAAGTATCCCTGTTTTTCCAATCCTTAAATCTGATTGAAAGGAAGAGAAACAGCAAAGAGATGCTCTAGTGACTCCATGTTGATGTTGTCCTATAAAGTTAGTTGTATTATCATTACTTCAATGCTAATAGTACATCAGCTTTTATTGTCTCAGGACACTCAGAAGATGACCGAGCCAAATGTGCAAGTTCAAGAGCCTGCTAGCAGCACCACAAGTACCTTGTCCAGTTCGAAGGCGACCCAGGTCGAGAGCCCTTATCCATTTGCTTCATCTGGGATAAAGACATCCCCAAGTACATATGCTCCTTATGGTGCTGTTAGGAACATCAGAAACCGGCCCCCATTACCCAAATCACAAACACGACCCAAAAACTATCAGAAGAACAATGATAACTCTTACAGGTTGAATCAAGTCGGTAGGTCTGCATCCACCAGGGAATTCGGTACTTTCAATCAAAAGAAGCAATTACAATATGCTATTGATGATTAGGACATGTAAAATGACAAGGTTGTGCTGAGATTTTGCCTTTCTTTAGTATTCTTCTAAAGGTTTTCACCCATGGAAAAAAATGAATTACTTTGATGAATTTAATATTTATATCAAATTTATAGTTTTTTTAAATATTATAAATTAATAGATATTATTTAATTTGAATATTAGTAGGATAATTATTTTGATGAATTTAATATTTATATTAAATATTACAAATTAAAAGATATTATTTAATTTGAATATTAGTAGGATAATTATTTTGATGAATTTAATATTTATATTAAATTCTGAATCCTTTTAAATATTACAAATTAAAAGATAATATTTAATTTGAATATTAATATTAATATGATAATTACTCTTTGAATATGTCAATTTAAAAAGGTATTTATTATTTTTTTTAACTTTGAATATTAAAGATAATTATATACTTTTGAATATTTTAAATTAAAATAATATTTGTTTAAGTTTGAATAATAAAATGAGTGTATATCTATTTAATATTTTAAATTTAAAAGATATTATTATATGTTTAAATCTAGATATTAAAAGATATCTAGTTGTAGTAAATTATGTTGAAAATCTCCTATAAATATTGAGCAAATCCGTTATGTTTATCATATCTCAGAATTCAAGAACTTTTATTTTCTTCTTAGTTTTTCGGTGATAATTGAATGCAGGGATGATTCACGATCTCTATTGTTGTGTTACTATAGTTGATCATCTAGTTGTTGTATCCTGGAGGATAGACGACCAAAAGATCTCGAGCACCAAGGAGTGACTGAAAATTTGTCTTAAGGAAATTGTGTAGCGACATACCTCAATTGTTTCCAATCTCAAGATCAAAACCAAAGAGTATTTTATCTTCCATTTATTTTCTTTTATCTTTAAAGAAATTTAATTTATTCATTTAATTTTTCTTAGGTTCGAATTTCATCTCGAATTGTTAGTTTGCTTAACATTACATATATCCTGAAGATTGACTAATTAGCCTGCTTTCCAAAGTCCAGGACAATTTCAGTAACCACGATTACTTTCACGATAATTTATGTTATACAGATTTGTCCACTTTGAGATTTCAAACTATTGATTATGCCCAATAACAAAATCTAAAAAAAAAACAAGAATTACATTTTTGTTTATTGGAATTATTTCTAATTATGGTTCTGTTTATTTTATATAAAATGGAGAAAGAGAGATCCACCAGTTTATCCAGCTTGGATGCTAAAATGGTGACACCGATTCATAATCCAAATATGAATGTGAGTTAATCGGTAGTAGCAGTTAACCACAATGAGAAGCCGATGAAATTCTGCGGAGAAAACTTCAAGATATGGCAACACAAGATGATTTTCTATTTGACCACAATGAACCTTTCAAGGTTCTCGAAGGAAGATCCTCATGTTCTCAAAGAAGGAGAAAAAGGGGTAGACAATGTTATTGCTTTCAATGTTGTTGAAGCTTAAAAGAACTCAATTTATATGTATTAAAATGTAGTTCTAAATTGTATACAAGATTCATTATATTCGGTATATGCTCGTTATGAATAACAAAGACACTATAGGAGACATTGGACCACAAATACAAAGATAAAGAAATTTGAGCTAAAAAGATTTTAGTTACCAAGTTCTTGAATTTTACTATGGTTGACTCTAAACCATTAGTAAAACAAGTACAAGTGGAGGAACTCCAACTACTGATCAATGAAATTCTTTCCGAAGGAATGGTCATAGGCGAATCCTTTCAAGTAGCAGCCGTTATTGAGAAATTACCTCATGGATAGAGTGACTTCAAAAATTATTTGAAACTCAAAAGGAATGAAATGACCGTGGAAGAATTGATTGTCAGACTTCGAATAGAAGAAGACAATAGAGTTAATGCCAAAATGCTCAACAAAGAAGAGGCTAAGGCAAATGTTATGGAAGTCAAGAACTTCAAGAAGGGAAAACAACAAAAAAATAGGTCAAATCTGAGACCTAAAGATGGAATTTCTAAGAAAGATAAATTCCAAGGGAAGTGCTTTAATTGTGGAAAGATTAGGCACAAAACCTCTAAGTGTAGACATCCAAAGAAAACCAAATCTCACGAGGCTAATGTTGTGGAAATAATGGCTAAGGGTGTGGAGGATATAGATCTATGTGTTGTAATATCTGAAATCAAACTGGTTGACTCTAATACAAGATAATGGTGGCTCGATACTAGAGCTACACAACATATTTGTTGCAAAAATAACTTATTTTCTAAATTGACACTTTGCAACAATGGGGAGAAGCTTTATATGTGCAATGTCGCGACTTTTGAAATTAAGGGTAAAGATATTGTAGTCTTGAAGATGAGTTCTGGAAAAGAACTCAAGCTGCAGAATGTGTTGTATGTACCTGACATATGTAAAAACCTTATTTCTGAAACACTTGCAAGTGTTCATGGCTTTAGAATGGTGTTTGAATCCCAAAAGCTGATTTTGTCTAAATGGAGAACATTTATGGGTATAGGATATGTATTGAATGATATATGGAAACTCAATGCTATCTTTGTAAAAACCAAAAGCATGAATAAAAATAAAGTTTCTTCTTCCATTTATATGCTTGAGTCATTTAATTTATGGCATGAGAGGCTTGGACATGTTAATTATGAAGCTCTACAGAGATTAACATAGATCACATTCATTTGTTTTATATTAATTATAATTATAAATGTGAAACAAGTGTTGAGCCAAAATTAACAAGGTCTTCTTTTCAAACTGTTGAAAAAAATACTGAACTGATTGATTTAATTCACAATGATGAATGTAATCACCATTTTTTGTTCTGCATGCACAACAACAACATTCCTTACTGTTGCTGCCACCACCAACGCCACCATGCTACCCATGCCCTGCTGCACAGCAGCCCCACGCCACCACCATGCCTCACCCATGCTCAATAGTCACCAAACAAGAAAGCAATAAATTTTCTGGCATGTAATATGGGTTATAAAACCTCAAATTAGATTGTAAAAAAGGGGACCCATATTAAGTTTTTCCCCATTGTTTCTCTTTTCTCTCAAAAACAATAGAACACTGTAATAGCGCTTTTTTCCCATTCGAAATCAATGCAACAACATCAAAAAATTTTCCAAAGTTTGATTCTTTTTCAGCAGCTTTATTTCTTTATTAGTTTTTCAGATAAAAATAAAATGGAAAGAAAGCGTTTACCTCAAGGTCACCGGGTGTTAAGGAGTTGTCCAAAGAGGACATTAGTTTAGGCTTTTAAGTTCTGGTTTTGGGGTTTTAGGTGAGAGGGGAAAGGAGTTTGAATGGTTCAAGCCTCGGTCGTGGTTAATCCGACCACCGTCAGGGTGGTTAGAGTCTCATGGCAGCTTTGATTTACGGTGAGAATGTGGTGACCATGGCTTTTGAGTTTTTGGGTTATGTGTTTTGAGAGGAGAAGAATCATTCTAGGTCTCTTAGGAGGGTTTTGTGGTCTCCCTTGGTTGGATGGAAGACCTACCGGAGTTTAGCGGCCACCCAACCTTGGTGGCTGAATCGTTTTTGCTCTTGGAGTTGGGAAGCTTTGTGCAACATAGTGAGATGGGTTAGGGAAGATAGAGCTCGTTTAGTTTAGGTGTAGTTTTAGGGTTTTTTTATTAGTAAAACAATATAGGTGTTATATTAAAATATGGGTAAATCACGTCCAAGTCCCTCATATTTAGCCACATATTTCTATTTTGGTTACTAATTTCATCTTTTATTTATTTGTTTCGATTTAGGCTGCATGTTTTGTTTTATTTTCTTTTGGTAACTTGTGATATTCATTTATTTCATATTGTTCTGCTGTTTTTTTTATTTTAATTTAGGTCACTGTTTTAGTCATAATTTTCTTGTTTTTTATGATTTTATTTTATTTTGGTTCTTGTTGTTTAAAATACGAATGTTAAACTTTAATACGACCTTGTGGTAACCAGTCTTGGTGTATAATCCATATTATTCGTGGTCCAGGTAAAATTCTAACTTTTAACTGTTGACTACTAATTTTTAAACTGCTAATTTACTAACCGCTAACTTTTTTTATTGTTCGAACCATAGTACGACCTCGCAACGCCATGCCCCGGGGTACAACTCGCATTATTTACGGTCATTATAAATTAGCACTAACATTTTATTTTCATTTCTCTTTTATTTTTTTGTATATTTAAATTTATGCCCTTTATTTTTTATATATTTAATTTTAATCCTTTAATTTCATTTTTTAATTTTTATCTTTTTATTTCTGCCCTTCATTTCTCAGTACTTTAATTTTATTCCTTTAATTATTGCGCTTTATTTTCTATTTATTCTATTTTAGTCTCATGAATAGAGAAGGGACATTCTTTTATAGAGAGGAAATCGATGAGATAGCATTCCTAGTAGTTGGAGTGCAAATCACGTGGGTTCTTCTCAAAATATGAAATGTTCTTTATTAAAAGAATTAAAATATATTAATCAATGTTTAATAAATGGATCATATTTAAATTTCTATTTAAATTTCAATTTCAACTATTATGACAACGTATAAGCGATTATGTACCAATTTTGTGCGCAGTAGGGGTGCTTACCCTTCCCCACGCATACTCGACTCCCTAACCTAAAATAAATCTTTGATAAGTGCATACCATTTTTTGTCTTAAAAATGATTTTTCTTAAAATTGTTTAAAAGGCATTTTTAGGTGTTCGACCTACCTAACACAAAGGTTGATGACGATTCCCAAATCAATTTAATCAAAATAAAAAAATTAATTTTTCCTAAATAAGTTGTAATTTAGGGTTTTCATCGAAAAATTACTCATTCGTCAAAAAAGACGTTACGACAGCTTGGCGACTCTGTTGGGGACACTTTAAAGAGTCAGGCTGTAAGTCACTTATATATTGTTGTAGTGGTGGATATATGAGTTCGAGTCTATATTTAGCTTATGATCATTTTATTGAAATTTTGCATTACTATACATTCTTTATATAAATAGTTGTACTATTGTTCAAATTC